AGCGGTGGTAGCCGGGCACCATCTAGCTGTACTGGACTCAGTCCGGTGAAGGTCTTGGTAGCTGTGGACAATTAGTCCTTTGGACTAATCTTTTTGCTGTAAATATTTTTGTAACTCATCTGAAATTCTTTCCGGAGTAGTATAAATGCCATTCAAGAAAGTTAAAATATTTTTTTCCCATTTGCAAGAGAAATACACAAGTCACTGTAGAAAATTCAGAAAATAAAGAAAAGTGTAGATAAAGTTAAAATCAATCACCATAATATTACAGAGATAATCACTGTTAATATTTTACTATATATCTACCTAGTATTTTTTTCTACATTTTCTACATTCACATACACACTCAAATACACTTCTCCATCCTCTGAAAGTATTGTTTTATAATCTTTTTCCTTTTCCATTTACCTTAAGTGTCTGCTTAAAAACAAATCCTAAGAATTCCCCAAGACTATTAAATATTCTTCCAAAGCATGATTTTTAAAGGCCACATAGTAGCCATTATACAGTCACACTATCAATTATTTAGACACCCCTGCCCTCCTCCCAAAAGTCCCGGGATGGGGCAAATGGTCTGCACTTAACTACTAATCTAAAGGTTAGTGGTTCAAACCCACCCAGCAGCACTGCAGAAGAAAGGCCTGGCAATCTGTTTCCATAAAGATTACAGCTAAGCAAACCCTATGGAGCAGTGCTGTCTGTAACACATGGGATCACCATGAGCAGGAATCAACTTGACGGTATGGGTTGTTTTTCTCCCTCCTCCCACATACATACTGAAATTATTTCCAAAAAGAAAAAGTGGTGCAAGATCTTTGGTCAAAAGTTACATTATCTAATACCCACTTTATTGATTAAACTTAGTGACGAATGAAACTTGACAACTTTGTGCACCTCTCCCCCATCTCTCTCCCAAATATAAGAATTTTAAATACTTCAGAGGATATGTAAAAGAAGACCTTGCATGATTATCTTACTGATAACCAGAATTTGTCCTTCAAATTTTTCTTCTCAATTCTTCAAATTCTGGTCTTTTCCAAGTCCCATGGTCTTGAATCCACTCCTTACCCAGACACTACCCTATAAATTATGTATCTCAACACTTTACAACCTTACTGCTGTGACAGTTTATTCCTTTGCTTTCATTCCCTCGGCTCCAATATTCTTTACATACAGTGGTTAGAAAAATCCTGCACATTTGTCTTAAATAATATGATGGAAAAGGAGTATCAGGGCAGTTTTTCAAAGGAAATCAAGGGTCCTAAAAAGATGAATATTTATTTGAATCAAGTATTCTTTGCAGTCATATACTATTCAATTTGCCATTATAGAACTTAATACACCCAGTCCTCACTTACTGACATGGTTAGGTTCCAAAGACCAGGTCGTCATGTGAAAATTGGCATTATGTGAAAATGGAGGATGACCACATCAGACTACAAAATGGAGCATGACTATATCACTACATAACTGCCAGATTACATCATTACATGACTGCCAAACCAGAGAATCATGACCCAGCCAAGCTGACACATAACCTTAACCACCACAGCCAGCATTACTCTTGCTTCACACCCTGGCATTCATTACTGCCAGACATACGTTGTTAATGCACGAAACAGACAGTAGATTCTTTACTATTGTTGTAAATGCAAAACGTCAGATAAGGAGATAGTTGCTAAGTGAGGAGTGCGTGCGTATAATATTAGTTGGTCAAATGTCTGCTGCCCCTGCTGGTCTGACTGCAGAATCTTTGAAGGAAAGACTGAACTATCTTTGGATTCCCAGTACCTAGTTACACTGCCAGGAATACAACTGCTCAGTGAGTACTGGACAGATGACTACAGTCTCTATGCACTTCTTATCAGCCAAATGTATGCCAGCTGTTTAACATAATCACATCCTTGCCTCAGCTGGGGAGGGATTACACTACCGTCACGCTTCTAGTAACATACACACTTGTGGGTGCAAGCCTGCCCACATGTAGCAAGCAAGAATCTCACCTCAGTTCTAAATGAAAATTCGACTCCTGAAGCTTCTGCGTGTCTGCTCCTCCTCACCTGGGATTCTAAGGCTGAAAGTACCCACCTCCTTCTTCACCCAGTGCGCGCTACCTTCTGGACTCCCTCTCTTCTGCTTTTTCTGACTAGCTAAAATAGATCTCAAATATGTGCTCATCTCTTCATCTCTACCACCCAGGTTAAGCCACTATCACCTCCTGCTTGAACTGCTGGTCTCTGCTTCTGCCTGTGCCCTTCCTATGCATTCTCCACATGGCAGCCTTTTTAAAAGCTATAGGAGGTCATGTCACTTCCATGTTAACGCTTAGCATGGCTTCACTACTGCAATTAGAATAAAACTCAAACTCCTTACCGTGACCCTCGCAGTTCAACATGATCTGGCCTTTTGAACCAAAGCGTATAATTAACGTACACATAAAATGATCACTTATCTACTCAGGAAGTATCAGCAGGTGAACAGTGTGTATGTAAAAATTAGAGACATTTCACAAGCATATTAATGAGTAACTCTTTACTTCAAATGTTTCAGATAACTGACTTTACATTAGAAAGGAATGATCATTTTAAACAATATGAAGAAGACAAAACAAGTGTACCTGATCTATCTGATCTTGTTGTCCTCTGTATACAGTTTCAGGGTCTGAAGGAGGCCTCAGATGAAATTCTGAGTCACAGAAATTTCCATCACCATCTACATTGTGTAGACTTTCCCAAACAACTTTTTCTTCAGTAAGAAACCCCTGGTCTGTTACCAACAAATACAGCTGACCCTTAATGAGGAATAACAAATGAAAAAGGAGTGTTAAATGGATCAAAATGAGTTAATATATGTGTAAGTACAATTTTATAATTTGTTTACAGCATATTAATTATTTCTGCTAGTTAGATTTGCACACGATAATAAGTAGTAGACCACATAGATATCTTATATGGTCACTGAATGAAGTCTGCCTGGCTGTGAATACAGTTTATAACTGGTGCACTAACGTATACCAAGAAATAGCAGCCCCTGGTTGGCATGCTCAACTACTCCGTAACTTATAAACAGCTTTCGGGGGGTTATAATCTCATTTCACAAAACTGAAAAATATTATACAAGTTCCTCAAAAATACATCAGGTAATGAACAGGACACAGTCGCAATAAATGATACCGTGCTGCCTGCTGGTTGTTCGTTCATTACCCTATATGACTAATCCAGCCCCTATCAACTTTTCCTTTCTCCGCACCATTAGCTGCTCTTCCTGTGCTCCGATAGTAACTTGTATCTGTTTCTCTTCTAGCACTTACATTGTAGCAGGACTGTGTTTTCCTGCCTCATTCTCCAGACCTTAGCTTAAATCTCCCTCTCTGGACTAGCATAGGGTGCGTCATACAGGTGAAGCCTAACTTTTATTGCGTCAGTCATGAATTTATATCTACAGTCACTGTGACAGAATTTAGCACCGACCTCTAGTTCTTCATCTGCATTAGTTCTAACTCCAATCATATATAGCCTTTATGTCCTCAGCATGCCACATAAGGAGTGTAACCCGTTTTTGTCTTTAGACTCGCAGAAGGTGTGACCTTCCCTGACTCGCTCGAAGTCCCACCTGGACAATACAGCGCTCGCCATTGCCCTAGAATCACACTATTCGTGTTCTTATTATCAACAACTAATAATTCAGAACAAGAAATTCCTGTGAAGAGTGTGGGGTCGGGGTGGAGAAATTACTGCGTGAATTCTGAAGCTTTAAAAAATCAAACGATTACGACCTGTGAACATTTGCTACGTGTCAGCTCTTCCTGAGGCACAAGGCTTCCCTGCTGTCTACTAGCACTGAGCTGCAGACACTGAGGAACTTACACAGCCACTGAAATCACTGCAGACACTGAGGAACTTACACAGCCACTGAAATCACTGCAGACACTGAGGAACTTACACAGCCACTGAAATCACTGCAGAGCAACGTGAAAAGTCTCATAAAGAAAACATTTTCATATAAAGCTTAAAGATATTATTCCAAGCAAAAATTGAGCGCAGACCCATGCTCCACCCCTTCTCTCTTTCTTTTCAATCGGATATGTTCCAATTCACCAGATATGTGAATGCCTATTATATGTTCAGCACTATGTAAGTGCTTGGGGATTCACATCATGGAAAGTAATGATCTCACCTTACTTTGGTATTAGATACCCCTTTTATGTGACTCCACAGAATCCTACACTATCATAGCATTTCCGCCATTACAGTCTCATGACCTGACATACTCTGAACACACATTTAGGGTCTAACCTTGTCCGAGGACAATTTAAAAGAATAACTAAAAGTTCTTTCCAACAATTTTCTACTGTATACATCCTGGTATTATAATATTATACAATATCTAGGCTTTACAATTTGTTTTATGTAGCTTTTCTCCAAATGACACTATCCAAAAAACAAACCAAACCAGTTGCCATCGAGTTGATTCTGACTCATAGCGACGCTGCAGGACAGAGCAGAACTGCCCCATAGGGTTTCCAAGGAACAGCTGGTGGATTTGAACTGCCAACCTTTTCCTTAGCAGCTAAGGTCTTAATCGCTGCGCCACCAGGGCTCCAAAAAAATGACACTATAGGTTGGGCAAATTCTGGGAGAGCTTCTATTGAAAGCTATTACCATCTGTAATAATAAACATTTACACGTTTTAACTAAAACGGTGGCCCTTTCCCGATACACTTGACCTGTCTATTTGACCAACTTGTCCAATTTAATAGAAATAATTACGTAATTCTAGCCTTTAAAATACTGAGGAAGGCACTGCCTGAATATTTTTTTGGTTAACTAGCTTGAATTCAAATTACTTAACCTCTTAGGAACTTAGTTTTCTTTTCTGACAAACGAGATACAGGCGGTTAGACCAGAGAATTTCTAAGGTATTTTATAAATTGAAAGATGAACTTTACTCCTACTTAACAAGCATCAACCTCATCCACAAGGAGCCTTCTCATCTACCCAGAGAGGCAGGAGGCACAGCTGCTGAGACGACAGAGTTGGAAGTCAGACTGAAGTCACTTACAAGCTGAGTCCACTACTCATCGGTCAGTTTGTCACACTGTGGTGGCTTGTGTGTTGCTGTGATACTGGGAGCTTTGCCACTGGTATTTCAAATACCAGAAGGGTCACCCACAGTGGACAGGTTTCAGTGGCGCTTCCAGACTAAGACAAACTAGGGAGAAGGATCTGGCGATCCATTTCTAAAAAAAAATTGGCCAGTGAAAACCTTATGAATAGCAGCAGAACACTGTCTGATATAGTGCCAGAAGTCCCTGAGGTTGGAAGGCACTCAAAATATGACTGAGGGAGAGCTGTCTCCTCAAAGTAGAGTCCTTAAGAATGTGGATAGAGTAAAGCTTTGAGGACCTTCGTTTGCTGAGGTGGCACGACTCAAAATGAGAAGAAACAGCTGCAAACATCCATTAATAATCGAGACATGGAATGTACAAAGTATGAATCTTGGAAAATTGGAAGTCGTCAAAATGAAATGGAACGCATAAAGGTTGATATCCTAGGCATTAGTGAGCTGAAATGGACTAGTATTGGCCATTTTGAATCAGACAATCATATGGTCTACTATGCCGGGAATGACAAATTGAAGAAGAATGGCATCATATTCATCATCAAAAAGAACATTTCAAGATCTATCCTGAAGTACAACACTGTCAGTGATACGATAATATCCACATGCCTACAGGGAAGACCAGTTAATACAACTATTGTTCAAGTTTGCGCACCAACCACTAAGGCCAAAGATGAAGAAACTGAAAATTTACCGACTTCTGGAGTCTGAAATTGATCAAACACGCTATCAAGACACATTGATAATTACTCGTGATTAGAATGTGAAAGTTAGAAACAAAGAAGAAACATTAGTAGTTGGAAAATATGCCCTTGGTGACAGAAATGACTTTGGAGATTGCATGATAGAATTTTGCAACACGAATGATCTATTCATTGGAAATACCTTTTTGAAACAACATAAATGGCAACTATACACGTGGACCTTGCCAGATGGAATATACAAGAGTCAAATCTACTACATCTGTGGAAAGAAACTGTCTTAGTTATGTAGTGCTGCTGTAACAGCAATACCACAAATAAGGTGGCTTTGGTGAACAGAAATTTATTTTCTCACACTTTAGGAGACTAGAAGTCTGAATTCAGGGAGCCAGCTCTAGGGGAAGGCTTTCACTCTCTGTTGGCTCTGGAGGAAGGTCCTTGTCTCTTTGAGCTTCTGCTCCTGGGCGATCTTCATGTGGCTTGGCATCTCCCTTCCCCCATCTCTGCTCTGCTTGCTTGTTTAATCTTTTATATCTCAAGAGACTGACTCAAGATACACCCTACACTAATCTTGCCTCATTAACATAACAAAACAACCCATTCCCAAAAGGGATTACAACCACTAGCATAGAGGTTAGGGTTTAAAACACGTATTTTGGGGGGACATCATTCAATCCATAACAGAGACGATAGAGAAGCTCAATATCCATCAGAACAAGGCCAGGGGCCGACTGCGGAACAAACCATCAATTGCTCATATGCAAGCTCAAGTTGAAGCTGAACAAAACTAAAACAAGTTCACAAGAACCAAATATAACCTTGAGTATATCCTACCCGAATTTAGAGGCCATCTCACAAAGAGATTTGACACATGGAACACTAATGACCAAAGACTAGACGAGTCGTGGGATGACATCATACATGAAGAAAGCAAAAGGTCATTAAAAATACAGGAAATAAAGAAAAGACCAAAATGGATGTCAGCAGAGATTCTAAAACTTACTCTTGAATGTCAAGTAGTTAAAGCAAATGGAAGAAATGATGAAGTAAAAGAGCTGAATAGAAGATTTCAAGGGGGGGCTCAAGAAGACAAAGTAAAGTATTAATATGCAAAGACCTGGAGTTAGAAAACCGAAAGGGAAGAACACGCTCAGCACTTCTCAGGATGAAAGACCTGAAGAAAAACTCAAGCCTCAACTTGTAATACTGAAGGATTCTACAGGGGAAAGTGTTGAGTAATGCAGGAAGCATCAAAAGAAGATGGAAGGAATACACAGAGTCATTGTACCCAAAAGAATTGGTCAATGTTCAACCATTTCAAGAGGGAGCATATCATCAAGAACTGATGGTATTGAAGGAAGAAGTCCAAGTTGCACTGAAGACATCAACAAAAAACAAGGCTCCAGGAACTAACGGAATACCAGTTGAGATGTTTCAACACTTGGAAGCACTCACTATGCCAATAAATCTGGAAGACAGAAACCTGGCCAACTGACTGGAAGAGATCCATATTTGTGCCCATTCCAAAGAAAGGTGACACAACAGAATGTGGAAATCATCAAACAATATCATTAATATAACATGCAAGTAAAATTTTTAAATCACACAATATCCCCTTGTTCTGTTCCAACAACTGCCTCTCAGTCTATGTACAGGTTCTGCGTGAGCACAATTAAGTGTTCTGGAATTCCCATTCTTTGCAATGTTATCCATAATTTGTTATAATCACACAGCCAAACACCTTTGCATGGTCAACAAAACACAAGTCAACATCTTTCTGGTATTCTCTGCTTTCAGCCAAGATCCATCTGACATCAGCAATGATATCCCTTGTTCCACATCCTCTTCTGAATCCGGCTTGAATTTCTGGCAGTTCCCTGTTGATGTACTGCTGCAACCATTTTTTTGTTTAATTTAATTTTTTTTATTGTACTTTAGATGAAGGTTTACAGAACAAATAGTTTCTCAT